TTCATCCCTAAGGGAGATATATTAGCTGGTTACGTAATAAAACTAACAGCATGGCGCTTCCAAGGACTACCGTGCCGACAAAGCCCTTCCCCTTAATACCACCGGAGATTAGAGCAAATCGAAGAAGAGTGGAAACAAGGCAAGGGGCTGCGGGTGAGGTTTTGCACAGAGGAAAATGCTGCAGTCTCTCCTCTTAATGCACTCTAAATCCCATCTGATTTCCAACTCTGCTGCTAAAAAAAAAAAAGAAAAGAAAAAAGAAAAGAAAAAAAACCCCACCAGCCTGCATTAAAATGATGATATTAATGCTGGGTGAGTGAGGTAGAGTGACTCAGGAAGGGTGTGGAGGAGGAGAGTTGTTTAGGGGAAGCATCCAGAGGAATCCAGACCATGAAAGCATTTTGGAAGCAGACCAAAAGGAGCCAGGGATGCAGATCTGCTAAAGGACGCTAACGTGCTTTTACAAATCTGATTAGTTGCTGGTTTTGAGCATCCAGGGTCAGATCCTTCCTTCGATAAACACACATCACTTATCCTCCTCACGCTGGGCTGCTGGCAAAGCGTAATACAACACAACCCTACTTTTCCCTCTCAATATGCATTCCCAGCTCTAAGGACAGGGTTTTCACTTAATTTCTGCTCCCTCTTCAGGCTGGCTGACTCTATAGCAAAAGACATCACGTTGAACACCTTGAGTAATATTACTCTTCTCTCTGCTGCCCTGTTTTTGTTGCAAACTAAATATTGACATTTTAAAATGAGCATGTTCCCTATGAGATGAGGACTTCGATGGAAGTCAAACTCGAGGTCTCATCTAGCCAGATTTCTGCTTTACGTGCAAAGTGGCAAGGCGAGAAGTCATCGCTCTGCCAGTTAACTGCACATGCTTGTTCCCCCTTTGACAATTAGAATCCAAGGCAACATTTCTTTACAACTTCACACTTCGCATCCTTTTGGAGCTCATTTTGACACATCTCCTTCCATTTCATTGAAATAACCAGCGAGTTTCATCTCTGAACTGGGAAAGGCATCAGGCAGAAGTACAGCGCAACTGGAGGCAGTGGATGAGCACCAACTAGGCACGTTCATACGTTCCGGTATCGTCTCTTGAACCACTTTCTATGAACTCACTACCAGCTTAGTTTGAATAACTGCAAAGGTCACCAGATTTGGCAGAAGAGACATCCAGATAATAGGCGAGAAACGCTACAGAGAATGCCTAGAACCAAGCGATTGACTACGATGGCAAGATGGAAAATAAAGCAGGAAGCAAACAAGGCTGACTGCCAAGGGATGACTGGAAGGTGTCACCCAAGCAGAAAAGCAACAGTTGCTCAAGAGCAGCCACGAAGCACACAAAAAAAAGTCAGGAGAAAGGAAGAAAATGAGTGGGTAATAAAACACTGGTCATACTCTGCCACTCCACAGTGAAGTGTTTTGGAGATGAGTTTACCATGGCACTGACTAGTTGTGTTAGTTGACCGAGTCTGGTCCTCCCTGTGCTAGGCACTGCACAGATACAGAGTCAGGAGCAGTCTTCCCACCCAAAACTAAGGCTAAAAGGCTAAATAGCAAGCTGGCAGAAGGAGGAAAAGAGCAAAGCCACCAGCACTATGGCAGTAAACAAGAGGTTAGTGCTACTACTCTGTTCTAGGATTTTAAGTCACAACCTAGTCAGTGACTGTCTGCAGTGAGGCAGAACTATTTTACTAGTGAAAACTTGGTGTTTCAAGTAAAAGAGATGGGAAAACCCCTAGCTAAAGCAAAGTTAAAAAACAGACAAAGTAAAAACTTTCCAGCAGCCTTACCATTGGCATCTTGGACTCCAGTCAGTGCTCCTACTGCTGCTGCAGTTTCACCAGATAGGACAATTTGTCCTCCACCTTGAAGAGTGGCTTCAGCAAGCGTGGCTACTGCATGGGCAGCTGCTTCACTGCGGGCACAGGAAAGCATAAAGAAGAATTAGGAAGACCAAACAAACAAGTAACTCCATTCCAGTAGCATCCATTCTAGTCAGGTATAGTAAGTATGTCAAGAGAACAAATCCAGGAAGCAGGAATTCTTACAGGGACCAGCTGAAGTTACCCAGAGCAGAAAATCGACAGTGGAAGAGGAATACATGGGGAGAAGCTGCTTCCACTGGCTTTTTTCACCTTGCAGATCTCTTAGTCAGAACACCCCTGCCTTCTTACCTTTGCATACTTGTGCTTGGGACTTTACTAAAAGCTTTCAGACAATCCAAGTAAGTTACACCACGTGACTCCTTCCTGCCTCTGGTTTCTGGTACAAAACTCATTCTTTTGGCACTGTCACATTCCGACTCTCTAGAGAGTTTAGAGCTTTACCCTTCATTACTGATTCAGCTAGTTCACCTTGCACTGAAATAGGCCCAGAGGTTTACCATTACCGGGATCACATCAGCAGCTCTGTATTTAACTAAGATGGAGTACTTCTCCCCAGCCAAGTGGTTTAATAATTCTTTTTAATGAGTGATCTGTAGCTTAGAACGGTATTCTTAAATTTCTTCATATGAATGAGGTCAGACCAAAGGTCCTTCTCATGCAGCAACCCTGCTGTGAGAACAGCCAGTATCACATATTTAGGAAGAAGTGTGTATGATCCTTTCCCTCCCTACACCCTCTCAGCTTCCAACGGTCGGCAGTGTATTGGTTCCCTACATCAGAGACTGCATCTGGACCATCAGGTTTGATTTGTCTAATCCCCTTTGAAACCCATTTATACTTCTTCCTTCCACAACATCCTGTAGCAATGAGTTCCACATTTAATCAGATGCCGTGTGAAGAAAAAGTGTGTTCTGGTACTCCAAAAACTACTGCCTCAGTCTGGCTGGGCAGCCCTTAAGTCTGATATTGTGATAAACAGAAAATAACTGTTCTCTTTTTGTTTTCCTCATGATTTCATGACTTCCAGTAACCTTCCCAAGCAGAAGAGCCATAGTTCACCTACTGTGCATGGACTCTTCCTGGCTTCTGATCACTCTTGTTCTTTCCAGACTTTTTCTAAATGTAAGACATCTGTTTGAGGGGGGTGACCATCTCTCACACTATTCAAGACGTAGACATACCATGAGTTAGTCCACAGACCTAACCCTGGCTCATTCTCTAGTCCTCTCCCTGCAATTCCTAATACTCACCTTACTCTTTTGACAATATCAGCTCAGCAGTGATAAAACATTCCTGGAGGATAGTCCCCCAAATGCTTTCTGAACGGTAACTGGAAGCATATAGTTCTTCATTGGGTATATACAGGAGATATTTCTTCATATGTGTATCAGTTGGCATTTATTGACATTGTATTTTATTTGCCATTTGGTTGCACAGAGTGCTGTGAGCATCCTTCAGCAGCTGTCCAGATTTCTTCAAACTTGTTGGATGACTATTAGCCACTTCTGGTGACCTACTGCTAGTCACAAAATTATTCCAAACCAACCTCTTTTCTGCAGCTGAATCTCCTACCATTTCTTACCTTAATGAACAAAAAAAGTCAGTATTTTCTTTAGCTTCCCCTAGGATGCTTCTTCCTTAACTGCCCTGCTCATTCTCTGGTAGACCAATTGACTCAAATATTTTCCAAGTACTTCTGACTCATTCTTTCTCTTTCCTAATTTCCTGCCTAGATGCTGTACACTTTCCAACTGTATTTTCTCAGGGTGTATTTTCATTTCTAAATAGCCCCTCCATCTCTCAGAGTAGATCTTAAAAGCTCTTAGTGAACCAGAATATTTTCTTGGTCTGCTTTCTTACTCTCTTTGGATCACCCCTCTTCTGAATCTGCAGCTACGTGAAGGCAGTTACACTGCAGGAAGGACAACTACAACACAGCAAACCTGCGCTAAGCGTGCACTTACTGGTGTAACCCTGTTTCCCAGACTTCACACAGCACTTTATTTGAATCCACTTTCAAGGGCAATTGAGCATTTTAATAATCTGTTACGGTTGCATCCCTGAAAATAATAATGATCTGCGGCATAAAAGCTTTTTCCAGTTACAGTGTGCTCCACAGACATTAATTGGTTCAAATCAATGAATTAATTACCTACCTCCACTTTGTCCTCTTTTACTAGAAGGCCTAATACTTCCCATCCTCAAACTTGACAGAGGTTGTGTCATCCATCATGCCATGCTGCTGGCAGATGTCCTGCTCTACACGAGACTACGAAAGACTTCTCTGCGCTCTGTCAGCAGCCATTGGAACAAGATTCAGAGATGGCAGCTTTCAACTAAACTAGGCATCAAGTTTCCATAGCTGGGATGAGCCACCAGCTTTCAAGGATCAGAGCCTTGCTGAGAGTCTCCTACAGGCAGGGGAAAGACCACAGTCCTACAGCTGAAAGCTACAAGGAGCATTTTGTGGCAAAGGAAAAAGTACACCTCTTCCACATGGAGGCGTGTTGGAGGTTAGTCACCTAGAAAGGTCTCCAGCCCTACCACAGTCAGTAGACAAAAAGGGTGACAACAAGCCGGTAAATAAAACACGAGGCCCCTCACTCCCACTGCAGTGCTGCCACAGCCTTCGCATCGCTCCTGAACTACAAGCTGTTTGAACAGACTTATCACAGGGCTTTCCTGGGTATAAACAGAACTGATCCTGTCTTGAGACACAGTAGAGAGACTAAACGACTTGTTGAAGGCTCTTCCATTCATATTTTCTAGGAGATTCTCTTTCATTCTAGCACCACTTATTTTTATGAAAGATTCTCAATTTCCTAAACTAATGCAGGAAAAGGAACTCATTGCTCATTGCCACCTTAAGAGCTAAAACTAGTAGCAATGGGATGAAATTAAAATCAAAAGCGCATTGATGCTCCAGAAAATATTCTAAAAATTCTAAAAAAATACACATCAAAACCTATTGCCTGGAAGCGTGCAGGATACAAATCCTGCAAGTCAGATTCCAGGAGACGGGGTTTTTTCTTGCAACTCCATGCCCAGTTACTTTAGACGTTCTTCTTATAGCATCCTAAAAAGATCACTTGTTTTTTTAAAAGGCAATTTTATAGTGAAACTATTAGCAAAAAAGCCTACTTAACCAACCTCGCATGGTAGCAGAAAAGAACGTATCTGATCGACCTGAATCTGGACCACAAAGAGAAGAAACAGTTCTAGGTGTGTTCATGATTCAGCTGCAACAGCAATTTGGAAGCAAGATGTTGAATGCCCCCAAAATCAAGATGACTGCTTTATATTTGAGTATATAACAAGGTCTTGGAGCTTTACTCCAACCATCAGCAGTGTGGACTTGTGCCTTGTCCCAACCCATGATTGCTCAGTTGCCAGCCTCTAGACCAGAATCCTGATTTGGATGAGGAAAATATTTTGTCTACACCTCAGCAGCGTGAAACCTCCCATGCTGCTGGGCCTGATGCCGTGTTTCCTACGGTCCTCCTGCTCTCTCAAGGTGCAGCTGCACTGTGCCGCAGCCCTTTCCAGTTTTTAAGAACAGCAGGCAAAGCTCAAGTAACCCACCAGAGCTGAGTAAAACCCACTGCTTCCTGCTGCATGGACCTATAGAGAACTACGCTGCAGATCTTCGTACAACTCTGAGTACAACCAAAATCTAACAGAGCTTGTTCCAAGATGAAGAGGCATTACTATTGCAGCTCATTCACCTTCTACTTCTCTGGAAGAAACCCCAAAAACACTGGCCTCTGGAGGAGATTCTGATTTCTGGAGAGAGATCATACTGCCACACAACAGGAAATTCAGCCTTAGCCTTTTAGTAAGAAACCATTAATAATATTGAGGAAGAGCCAGACCAGCATATTTAAAAGGTGCTATTAGCCCATCGTAACTCTTGCTTGCTTAGCAAGCTCAATTCTGTAATTAGACCCTTGCTGTACAAATAAGATCGTTTAGAGGGTACAGTTACTACCCATCTTTTCCTCTTTCAGGAAATTTCCATGTCAGTGTTCTTCTGTGGTTACAGTGGGAATCAGGCACTGTCCTGCAGACACCTGGACACGAGCTGACATAGAAATTTGCTAAGGAAAAGCCTCTGCTGGGACTGTACACAGTGGTCTTCACACCATTAGAGTGAAAACCTAGAAGGAAATGTCATGTACGCACGCTTCAAGCCTTCTTCTCTCACCCATACCTGTTGAGTGCCATGGTAACAGTTGCCCCTTGTTGCATCTCCTGAGATGCTGCCACTGCTGCTTCTGCTAATGATGCCACCGCCTGCGTGGCCTCTGATGCCTGCGTCGTCTGGATAGTCATCTCACCCCCCTGTAGCGTTGCCCAGTTCTGCTCCACCTACAGGGAAAAACAAAAAGAAAGGCCCTAGGATAGGATATTATCCCATGAATGCACAGTTGCTTCCTAAAATGTCAAAATTTAAAAGTTTCAAGAGGTCTTTGCAGAATGCTGCACATGCTCTGACTTTGAGAGACAGGGAAAAGAGGGAGGAAGCCTGGGATCCACCTGAGAACATTGCTGGACACTACAACCCTCTATCAGCCATGAGTGAGTTTCTATAGTCAGCCCATGATTTTAGTTGCTGTTCTCCATACGTTCAACCTTCAAACAAGAACTCTAGTTTCCTCACTCAGATGGAAAGCACACCCCATAAACATCTGTGAAGGCCCTCAACTTCCCACAAATCCCTCTTGTCCAGCCACATCTGCAACAAAACAGGACAGTGTTGATCGTTGCTGTACTCAGATCACTGCCTGCCAGCCTGGGCAGGCTATTAAATAACTGCGTTTCTGCGGTGCTGGAATGCCAGCGTGGACCACGTCCCCCAGGGAAATGAGCTCCACTTGTCTCACTGCTTCTATTTGTCTGCACCCACCCGCTGTCATTTTAGGGAACAGACCATGTTCCCATTCAGGATTTATTTGTACAGCACTTGTGAACTCGGATGGGTTTGAGCCGACTGGAATTTTTTTGTGCTGCAGCAATATACTTAATAAAAGAAGATGGCAGATGGAAAGTACTCTGTACATATATTTCAGGTACTTTCAACTCCCTTACTTCAGACCTTTACATAGATAGGTTTCATATTACTTAAAGTTCACTCAGTCTCAGTTGCTCATTTTCCACCTAGCCCACATTACTCCATTTGGGACTTCACAGCTCATGAGATAATGAGGGTATGGCCACAAAATCCACTGGGATGTGAACTAGGTATATGCATCGGACCAAAAAAATAAAGAAGTGGAGGATGAAGGCCCATCAGCTGACAAATCCTACTGGCTACCTTGCAAGATGAAGATCTCCCCTCACCCTCCCATCTCTGTTCTCACCCCCATAAACATTTCAGGCCACTCACCATCTTATTGAGACTCACAAATAAGAATATCATAGAATGTGATGAAAAAGCAGCCCTCGATTTGTTAAAGATGGAGAAGGCTAAAAAGTCCATAGAAACAGAGCTGGCTCAAGGCTCCCCACAAAAGGACAAGTAAGTTTTGCTGCCTTTGGACAAGAAAAGGGTTAGTCCCATCACAGGATTGAGAGGGAGAGAGAACCTGTCGCGCTCTCACTCACATCTGCTATCACACACTCCTCAGCAGCTGCCAATCTGGTTTTCCAGCACTTGGGCACAGGCAAAGCTGGCGCTCGTCGTAGCTCTTTAGCCATCCCCAGCCGTCTGACGTTCAAGGCAACTGCTTCATTCTCCTGTGCCCAGAGCTGACCCTGGGCGGAAGGATCCAAAGCAGGGAGGAAGCAGTGAGATAGTGCATTGCGAAAAGGAGAAAGGAAGTTGATTTTAGAGAAGGCAATGTCTTTTAGGAAAGATGCAATCAAGTTTGAGGGCTCAGAGAGGAAGAAGTTGCAGATGGTAGAGACCTCGAGAGAGTCGGATCGAGTTTGTGGTACTCGTTAGCCATGCCAAAACCGAACTAAAGCAAGCCCGAGCTGGGAAAGGCACCCTTCCCACCACCATGCAGAAGAATAAAAGACATACATTTTTTAAAAAATACATGGCAATACACATTTGAGTGATAAGGCAGGTCTCCACTGTGACATATAGTGCCCCGGAAAGATGCCTAAGCTGTTCCAGAACAGGGATGGAGTAAGGCCTGGAAAAGAAGTGGGGATTGTCCAGGCCTTTCTCCATACTAGCATGAAGGTTGTGCTGCTGAGATCCTAGTGAGCAGCCCTGCTCCATGCTGCTCGGCGTTCTATAAACGCATCGATTTAATCAGAGCTAACTCAGGTCTTCACACAGCAAGAGATAGCAGGACAAAAACATCCCTAGAGAGGCTGCCAGCAGGCTGTGGATCTATCTGTGCAGAGAAATAGCACCCATCCCCAAGCAAGTTTACTTTTGTATCTTTATTTTGTCCAAGATATCACTTAGATGTTCCGTTCACGTTAGGAATTAAATGCCTGTGTTCCCCCGATTTCTATTTGTGTCTGTGAAAAATTTCTTTCAGATCTCAAGAGAGCTAACTTGTTCTTGAAAACCCTCAAAGCACCTGCAAAATAATTCAAGGTCACGGCCCCAGAGCCAGGCTGCTTCACTGTGGGTCTGAGACGGAAACAGGGTCTGGTGAAGAGCAAAGCTGTTCTGTGCTGCCACCTGTCGCTACGAAAGCCCCGTCCACGCAGAGGGGACCAGACCTCGCCACTCCTGCGCACAGACTGTCCGGCCAGAAATTCTGGCATACAGAGAAAGGACAGAAAGCAACCCGCAGCCTGGTTTAAAGGTGTGTTTGGGGGCGAAGAGGGTTTAAAAAAACAAAACAAAACAAAAAACCCCTTCATATTCTTAAAGGAGTGTTCCTTAAATGCACACAAAACCTCTTTATTACTCATTTAAAAAAAAAAGTGTAAAAATAAATGTGTGCAAATTTGAGCGTTCAGATTTAAGGGTTGAAATGGCTTGATCGAGTCTGTGACAGAAACAACTTTGCCAAGTTGTAAAGCAGTGGAAGAAACTTTCACAGTAAACGGAACAGTAACTCCTCGATATCTCTTGCTGTCTCTATGCTACTGTGCAATTACACAGCTCTCTCCGGGGTTTACTTGCAAACCTCCTTAAAAGCTGCGGCAAAGAAACAGTCCCATTTTGTCCAGAGATCAGTGGCCAAAGAATCGCAGGATCTGCCCGCAGCCATGCAATATCCTTTGCTAACCACAGGCTCAAAATATCCCAGCCATCGCTCCCCACCCTGAACTGACAAACCAGCACCCAGGATCTACAGCACGTATGAAACAGTTGATCAATACGAATATACAAATGTGTATTTGTGTAGGTCATTAAGTTTTTATCTGCTAGAGCAGATCTCACAAAATAAATAATCTATAGCAGATATCAAAAACTGTATTAAATGCAGAACTGAGGCTTCCACCGTAATTGCATTTGCACAGTCCTGAGTCAAAATGACAACAGTTCAGCACTTTCTTTTATAGAGTCTTGTGTTCACATGTATGTTAACGCTTAACACCGCAGGGTGGGGAAGCAAGGCTTGGTGTTTCCTGTGACCACTTAATTCTAGAAAATACTTAACTTTATTGAAGTTCAGACGGGACAATTCTGGTTTGTGCACCATGAACGTGACCCAAGTCCTTACCTCTCCATCAGCCACTGCAGAGTAATTGACTTGCGCGACGGTAACTGTGGTAGGCAACTCTGAGGCATCGGCCAGCGTGGCAACTGTAGCACCAGTGCCGACCTATGGAAGTCAACAAAAGGCAGCTGAACACATTCGTTATTGCAGGAAAATGTCCACATAATTCAGACAAAGGGACACTCAAATGCTCGCAGATTAAAAAGCATCACACCCACAGAGAATAATAATAATTGCAGAGCTCAAAGAAAACACAGAGCTGTCTCAAAGAGCTGGGGGAGAAAATCACATGCTAGAGCCACGTTAATCTATGGCACCTTCCAGAGTGGATATGGCCCAGAAGCAAGTTTTTCACAGCCCTTGTGCTGTCCCCTACGTCCATGTAGGCGACAGAGCCCTCGCTGTTCTCCCAGCCTCCGCAAGAGCAGCTGGGGGATACTGCTGCCATTCCCAGGTCTGAGTGTGGTGCGCCGGTGGAGCCAACACTGGGTGGAAATCACTTAAAAAACCACCGAGTAGTCCTGGATTGGAACACCCTTCACATCAGCCATTTATAACAATCTTTCCTTATCATTCACTGGGTCTCTCGTCTCCAAGCACTTGGCAAACATTAGCTCATCCTCAATACCCCACTGCCTTTGGAAATTACCTTTTCCACATTTAACAGCTGGGAAAAGACAAAGGCAGGGAGATATGCAGCCTTGTTTTTAAGGAGAATTAAACCTATATATGCTAGAAAGTCAATGGGATCTCAGGTGCCCAGCACCTAAAAGAACACTAGTCAAAGGGAAAATGTATGTTAGCAGGTGAGCAAACAGAACCAGCTCGGCGAGTCTGCGGGCCTTGGTGGGGGGAACAAAAAGCTGTAACAATCACTGAAAGCTCTCATTTTGAAAAAAACAATCAAAAACCAAACCCAGAACAAACTCACACACCATGATTTTATCTTCATGGTTGTGAGATGAGAACAGCCAACAGAAAATGATGTTTGAGACTTCACTAAAAATGTGATGCTCAAGAGGGACAAACGGCTGGGCCAGTTAGGTACGAGAGGGCAGTGGTGGTTTGGAGGCAGGGACACGGGGGAAACTGAGGTTCAAATCCCACACCCATGAGGAGCTCTTGGGAAGTTTCAAGAGAGCACTTAAATTTTTGACATCCTGAGCTGCCAGAACCTGCCTCCCCACACGGAGAACGCAGGGAAAACAGCAGCACCACTCAGCCACTGCCTGAACGCAGCTGCTTCTGCGCTGAATCCCCCTCTGTAAAACGGTGTAAGAGGCATCCTCACCGCAGGGGGCATCGTGAGGATAAATATATTTTTGTTGTGTATAATATATATATTACACTTTAGGTTTAAGATGAAGAGCAGGGGGCACAGCAATACTTAATGCCATAGATTAAGCTACGTTTCATGCCATTAAAGAAAGGCAGTGCCACCAGCTCTCCTACCATCACTCCATCCCGTTGCCACCACAGGCGTCGTGTGGCCACATCATGAACTACATTCGTTGGTAAACAGGTTCACTAAACTCAGGTCAGATCCCTGAATTGCTTGACCAAATAGCTGCAGAAATGCTTGTACTGCCATAACAGGAGAACAAGGGTTGGGAGTGGGGAAGAGAGAGGATGAGACTCCTTCTTTGCTGGGGGGAGCACTGGGTTAACAAGCCTGCAGGCTAAGACATAGATAAAAGAGAAAATTCTTGAAGGACGAGTTAAGCTACCAAAAGCAGTTCGCTCTAAACCACCTCCCTGATGCAGGCAACTCTGTCTCAAGTCAGCCGTGCTGGACATGGAAAAGCTGGAGGGTTTCACCCACCTGGATGAGGGACACGGTGCCATCAGGGTTACTGAAGGTTTGTACCACTGTCTGTGATGGCACCAGGTGCGCTATACTATGTGTGGTCGTAGTCTGCTGCTGTGTCTGCTGATCCTCGAATGCATACAGCAAGTCTTCACGCCCGTGCTGCTTGTAGCAGTTCTTCACGATAGTCCGCAATGCTTGGGTCCATGACACCTACGAGCAGAATGAAGAAGAGTGAAGAGTCAGTGTAAAAAAAGTTTTCTGAACCACTGCAGTGCTGCTACTGCTGTGATTTGCATGCTTATCTTCACTGGGTTTTATTGGGCAGTTTTCAACATATTCTCAAACAATCAAAAGGCCCCAATACCTAATCCCTCTCTCCTCATCCCCTCCTTTCCCCAAGACTCAGAAATCACTCTAGAGAGTTATTGCATTGCTGCGTACTGATAAAGAACGAGCACATATGGCCAAGGGAAAGGGAAGCTTCTCAATGAAATCTGTTTCACCAGCTTTCAAGGAATTCTAAGGGATTGGGGGTGACAAGTAGAAAACCATCCTTACCTAGGAAAGCACCAACTACCACAACACCACTTCCAGCCTCACCAGGCGTCCCTCCCCATCCAACCAGACCTACACCAGCCTACACAAGTCCTGCTGCATGCACACCCTGGCAGCCTTCTTCAATTATCTGTGTGAAAGGTTGGTAGAAACATCACCTGCATACAAGTGTCCCTCCCATACATGATGTCCAAGACCTTTTCACCCAGTTCTCCAATTTTTTCCTGGCTCCACTGTACATCTTTGACTGCTTCCCTTTAAGTACAAAGGTCCCTGCTGCTCAGGATTGGACAGAATACCTTCAGAGTCTTCAAGAGGCCATAATACAAACTCTACAGTAAATGACCTGCATACTTGGAGACTAGACTTGCCTTAGGCTGGGTAGGCTGCTTCGTAAGGCCACAGAGGCGAGCAGGTTCTGCAGCTAGTGAAAAGGACACCCGCTGCACAAAGAGATGTGGTTCAAATACGTGCTCGTCACACAAACCCAGCAGAGACAGAGCAGACTGAAGGTTATGTGTCTCTCATCCCATTGCTCTCTCAAGGCTGAATGTCTGACACAAAGTCAAGGAAGGGCTGATGTCATAGCTGCTTCTGTCACTCGAGGGGAAAACTATTCCCACAAAAGCTGGTCACAAGCCCCTGTACTCAATTTGAAGGCAGATAGGCATGGGATACACACCCGCTGCTTCTGTTCCTCTGTGCGGACATCGCTGCGAACATTGGCCCATGGAATGTCCTCAGGCCACCAGATGGGCTTGCAGCTTTCCTTGCCCCAGCCTGGTTTTCCGCGACCCGTGGAATACTTCAGCATCTCAGGGATGAAAGCTCGCAGCTGTGCCTAGAACAGACCACATAAGAGGGTTGAGACTTTTTTAGGGACTCATATCTCTGGTAGGTTTGAGGTGCACAATACAAAGTTATTACGTTTCTCTTCCATGGTTGTTGGAACCAACAACTGGAAGAGGCCTGAGCGCCTAAGGAAGATGGACAAATACTTTACCATCTGCTCCCAAGACTCAGCTGAGAATAGCTTAGTCACATGTGAAAGAGCAGAAACAAAGTTAAGTCAGCCAATTACAACAGGGCACAAGCACACAGTGTATTAACACACTTCACGGTTCACACACCACCATGAAGAGAGCTAGCCAACCTGATGGGAAGATGGGGGGGGGGGGGGGGG